TGTTCTTCTTCTTCTTCTTCTTCTTCTTCTTCTTCTTCTTCTTCTTCTTCTTCTTCTTCTTCTTCTTCTTCTTCTTCTTCTTCTTCTTCTTCTTCTTCTTCTTCTTCTTCTTCTTCTTCTTCTTCTTCTTCTTCTTCTTCTTCTTCTTCTTCTTCTTCTTCTTCTTCTTCTTCTTCTTCTTCTTCTTCTTCTTCTTCTTCTTCTTCTTCTTCTTCTTCTTCTTCTTCTTCTTCTTCTTCTTCTTCTTCTTCTTCTTCTTCTTCTTCTTCTTCTTCTTCTTCTTCTTCTTCTTCTTCTTCTTCTTCTTCTTCTTCTTCTTCTTCTTCTTCTTCTTCTTCTTCTTCTTCTTCTTCTTCTTCTTCTTCTTCTTCTTCTTCTTCTTCTTCTTCTTCTTCTTCTTCTTCTTCTTCTTCTTCTTCTTCTTCTTCTTCTTCTTCTTCTTCTTCTTCTTCTTCTTCTTCTTCTTCTTCTTCTTCTTCTTCTTCTTCTTCTTCTTCTTCTTCTTCTTCTTCTTCTTCTTCTTCTTCTTCTTCTTCTTCTTCTTCTTCTCCTTCTCCTCCTCCTCTGCCTCCTCCTCCTCCTCCGCCTCCTCCTCCTTCTCTCTCTCTCTCTCTCTCTCTCTCTCTCTCTCTCTATCTCTCTCTCTCTTTCTCTGTCTCTTTGTCTCTCTGTCTCTGTCTGTCTCTATCCCTCTCTCTCAAATCAATAAAAGCATTTTGAGCCAAGCTGGTCTTTCCCAGTGGTTGAGGGACGACCTATGAAAGCAGAGGTCACTGTTCGATTCCTCGTTAGGGCACAGACAAGAATTAACCAATGAGCCCTAGCATGTTTGGCTCAGTGGATAGAGGGTTGGACTGTGGACTCTGGAAGATCCCAGGTTGGATTCTGGTCAAGGGCACATGCTCTGTTTGTGGGCTCGATCCCCAGTAGGGGGCCTGCAAGAGGCACCCGATGTATGATTCTCTCTCATCATTTATGTTTCTCGCTCCCTTCCTGTATGAAATCAATTCTATATAATAAAAGCCTAATATGCTAAGCATCCAGTCAACCGGTGATCTGTTCAAGCAATCAAAGGATAATATGAAAATGATATACTAAGGTTGCTCTACTGCTCACTATGACATGCATTGACCACCAGGGACAAGACATTCAGACTGGTAGGTCAGCTTGCTGCTGGGGTCTGGCTGATCGGGATTGAGTGAGACATGTTGGACACACCCTGGGGCCCTCCCATGGTCCTTCCTCAGCTGGCCAACCTCCCGTGTCCCTCCCCAGACCTAATGGGACACCGTTGGGGCGCCTTCGCCTGGCCTGCACCCTCTCATAATCTGGGACCCCTCGGAGGATGTCAGAGAGCCAGTTTCGGCCAATCCCCGCAGGCCAGGTCGAGGCACCACACTGGTGCACAAATTCCCCCAAACATTCATTCTTTTTTTGAAGAGGGTAGTATTGGTTGACGAACCTCAGGAGATCAAACAATGAGAACATTGGTCATTGAAATGAAAACTATTTCCAGTGATGTTTTCGAGCCTTGTCTACTGGGGCTGGCCTAATATTTTCAGGCTTAAGGTCTTTTTCTTTTTCTTCCTCTGTTTAATATATTTTTACTAGAGGCCCAGGTTTCAGGGTCGATCGCCAGTAGAGGGCATGTGGGAGGCTGCTGATCCCTGATTCTCTTTAATGCAACCATGTATATCCTGAAATAGATTTCTGGGGCTCCCTCCGGCCCCCCCTCCAGCCTCCTCTCGCTGGTGCAATGGTAGATGAATTTTATGATAGCTGAACTTTGTGCTAAACACAATTAAAAACCCACGGAGAGCTAGACGCTAAAGCTGTGATTCTCTCTCATCCTGGATGTTTCTCTCCCTCTCGATTTCTCTTCCTATCTCAGTCAATAAAATCATTTAAAAAATATTAAGCAAGTGTTGCATTCACATTAACTGCACATTGATTTAAAATAGTTTATTATTTTTTTTTTGGTTTAACATACCAGATGAGTAGTCATTTAAAGACGACCTAGCACCTTAGCTGGTTTGGCTCAGTGGACAGAGTGCCCACCTGAGGGCTGAAGTGTTCCGGGTTTGATTCCAGTCAAGGGCACATGCCGGGGTTACGTGCTCGACCCCCAGTGGGGGGCGTGCAGGAGACAGTCGGTCCATGATGCTCTCTCATCATCACTGATGTTTCTATCTCTCTCTCCCTTCCTCTCTAAAATCAATAAAATATATATATATATTTTTATAAAAGAGCCCACGCCTCGAGGTGTCTCACGTGTTGCACTGCAGACACTCTGTCTCATGACCCCTTTGGGCTCGATCCCTTCCAGGGCAGTATGAGGGTGACATTTGAATTATGTTTTTTTTCTCCCCTCTTTTCTTTTTTCTTTTTATTTTGCTTCTCCTAAATTCCAACAGGCAGATATCTGACATTCCCTTAGGACCCCATTCATCTTTCCTTCCTGATTGGGGAAGAGTTTGCCTCAGTCCAGGTCATTCAACTGGGAGTTGTTTTTAATTTTTTTTTTCATAGAGGAAGGGAGAGGGAGAGAGTTAGATACATCCATGATGAGAGAATCATGGATCGGCTGCCTCCTGCACGTCCCTCATTGGGGATCAAGCCCACAAACTGGGCATGTGCTCTTGACCAGGAATCGGACACAGGACCCTTCAGTTCGCAGGCCTACACTCTATCCACAGAGCCAAACCGGTCAGGGCCAATTTGACTTTTTCAAAGGGTGGAAACGCCTTGAAGAAGAACGAAGCATCTCAGCATTCATGTCATAGTGGGAATTACAACTCACCTCACCATTCTTTCCACATTGTTCCTGTAAATGCAGACTCTGACTAATAATGAAGCTTGTAGGTAAACAGCATGTTTGTATAAGAATCCTAGCAACTAATTTTACAAGACATGATCTCTGACCTTCCCAGTTATGGGAGATTGGATGACCTTCAACCTTAGAACCTGGAGGATAAGTCTAGGATGACGCAAAGTGGACCGACACCTGACCACATGCAAGATCCTTATCAGATTGGACTGTGCCTGTGGGCACGTAGAGAACTTGTCAAGCCCCGCACCTGACCTCTTTACTCTGTTTGGCCTCTCCCTCCTTATAAAATCCTCTGCCTGCACTGAGATGTGCAGATGGGTTTTGGGACTAGCTTCCCCCAACTTCTCAGGTTGCCGGCACCTGAATAAACCTCTTTCGTACCTCACCACAACCTGTATCACGGAACTGGTTTCTGGGGTGTGAGTCAGTGGTACCTTGTTTTTTCTGGACACATTCCTGGTACATGGACTCCTGGGAATATGTGTATCATGGTCATGTTCTTTCTTCTGCAGGTGACAGGGGGAAGCATAGACCGGTCACAAGGAAAGGAGCTACGACGGTGCTTTGCCTTCAGAGCAAGAAGAACAGGTAAGAAAAAGATGGATGGGAGGAGGAGGAGGAAGGATTGGGGATAGAGTCTGATCTGAGGGAGGAATTTGGGCTTTGTGGACTTAAGTGAGTTTAGCAGAAAAACTTTACAGCTCTTGCCAAGAACATGGCTGAGGTTTGGGGAAGCGAGAGAACATTCTATAAGTGATGTTATGAGACCTCAGGAATCCTACTTGCTGTTTCACCTGTCTCTTTGCTTCCTGTTTGCCTGATCAACTATCCCAGATGTCTGTCTGTCCCTGAATATTTTGGTCTTGCCTCTCTCACCAGCACTTGAGAAGCAAGACTGCTGTTAAGAAGCCCACCTGGACGCAGTCGTTAGCTTTGTTCCTCTGCCAGCTGTTAAAGGTAAAGCATATTATTTGCACGGGGTGGGTTGTTCTATGGTTTGTGAGTTCCCTCTGTGATGATCAGAAAGAAGATGGTGGTGTCAGGACAAAAAGAAAAATTGAACCAACTACAAAGTTTTAATTAAGAAAAAAAGAAAAGAAAAGAAAAGAAAATCAAAGGAAAGAAAAGAAAAGCAGAGAAAAGAGCCCGGCTGGCATGTCTTAGTTGTTTAGCTTAAACCTAGGAACCAGGAGATGTCGATTTCATTGCCAGTCATGGCACATGCCCGGGTTAGAGCCTTGATCCCAAATAGGGGGCATGCAGGAGGCAACCAATCTGTGATTCTCTGTCATCATTGATCTTTCACACTCTCTCTCTCTCTCCCTTCTTGTCTGAAATCAGAAAACTATATGAGAAAAATTAAAGAATAGTCATGGCCCAGGAAAGTAGAGCATTGAGTCAGTGCAATCCTATATAATAAAAGGCTAATATGCAAATCAACAAAACGGCAGAACGATTGGTCGCTTTGAAACAAACTGACCACCGGGGCCGATGCTCATGGCATGAGCTGTCCACCGGTAGTCAGTGCGCTTCCACAGTGAGAGCGCCGCTCAGCCAAAAGCCATGCTCACAGCTGCCAATAAGAGGGGGATGGTGGGAGCCTCCATGGCAGCACTAAATCAGGCCTAAGCCATCAGTTGGACATCCCTCAAGGGGTCCCGGACTGCATGAGGCTTCGGGGCTGACTGAGGGACCCCCCCAAGTGCATGAATTTTGTGCACAGAACCTCTAGTAATATTATAATAACTGTGTATGGTGTCAAATGGATATGAGATTAATTGAATGATTTCTTAGTCCACTATATAATGTCTAATCATTGGGGTGTACCCCTGAAATGAACCTAATGTTCTATGTTAACTGTCATTGAAAAAATGTTTTTAAAATTCCATAGGACCATGTTACCTTCACAGAGTCATATTTTAACTTAAGTACGTTTTGTACAGTTTGTTCTAGGAGAGAGATCTAGAGCTACAAAAGAAATAAAAGTTGAGATTTATAAATTAGCAAAATAAACCAAAGGCCACCACAAACACAACCGTAAAAACCATAAAGATAAAAGCCGAGGTAAAATGCGTTTGGAGACCCCATCCCCTGTCTTTCCATACCAGGACCGAAGTAGCAAGAGAATCTGAGAAGCTGTGGCTGTTGCTCCTTGGACCACGGAGGGGTCATGGCTGAGCTCCCATCGAACGTGCACCTCACCTCGCACCCCATCCGCCTGATGATCCGTGGGCCCTCTGTGTATGAGGACGAGAAGAAGCGCACATGGCTGCATCTCATCATGGAGACTGGAGGTGTCCTCCAAGTACGGTTGCGCCAGGAGGACATCCCCAGTGGGCATATCACACTCACCACCAGCCCACTGACCTCGAGAACCATGCCTTTTATTTGGACGCTCTCCCCTGGCGACCAGTACCTGGACTTCATGTGCCGGTTATGGCGCATCGTGCACCACATCAAGGAGGATGGAGTGGAGGAAATGATCCTTGAGCAGATAGACAACTCGTAGGACATGTGATGGGGTCCCTGGCTCTTGTCAACCTGAGCCCCTGTTCTGCTGGCCTGCTGGTGGGACGTGTATAGTTCTGTTCACATTTTTAATAAGCTCTGCTGTTCTATCTGCTACCCCCTGGGTGCGAAGGCACACTGATGTCTCTCTCTCTCTTTCTTCTTGTTCTTTTTGTTCTTGTTCTTGTTCTTGTTCTTGTTCTTGTTCTTCTACTTCTCCTACTCCTTCTCCTCCTCCTCCTCCTCCTCCTCCTCCTCCTCCTTCTCCTTCTCCTTCTCCTTCTTCTTCTCCTCCTCCACCTCCTCCATTCTCTCTCTCTTGTCTTTCTGTCTCTCTCTCTCTCCCCCTCTCTCTTAAATTAATAAAAGCATTTTGAGTCAAGCTGGTGTTTCTCAGTAGTTGCGGGACGATTCATTGTCAGGGCACAGACAAGAATTAACCAAAGAGCCCTAGCTTGTTAGGCTCAGTGGATAGAAGGTTGGGCTGTGGACTATGGAAGGTGCCAGGTTCAAATCTGGTCAAGGGCACATGCTCTGGTTGTGGGCTCAATCCCCAGTAGGGGGTGTGCAGGAGGCACTGGATGTATGATTCTCTCTCATCATTGATGTTTCACGCTCCCTTCCCGTATGAAATCAATCCTGTATAATAAAAGCCTAATATGCTAAGTGTCTTGTCGACCGGTCATCTGTTCAACCAATCAAAGCATAATATGCAAATGATATGCTAAGGTTGCTCAACCGCTCATTATAACATGCATTGACCACCAGGGACAAGACATTCAGACTGGTAGGTCAGCTTGCTGCTGGGGTCAGGCTGATCGGGACTGAGTGAGACATGCTGGACACACCCTGGTGCCCTCCCCTGGAGCCTCCCCAGCTGGCCAACCTCCCGTGTCCCTCCCCAGACATAATGGTGTACCAGTGGGGTCCCTTGGCCTGGCCTGTGCCCTCTCTTAATCTGGGATCCCTTGGGGGATGTCAGAGAGCCACTTTCAGCCAATCCTTGCAGGCCAGGCCAAGACCCTGGTGCCCTCCCCTGGTCCCTCCCCAGCTGGCCAACCTCCCGTGTCCCTCCCCAGACATAATGGTGTACCAGTGGGGTCCCTTGGCCTGGCCTGTGCCCTCTCTTAATCTGGGATCCCTTGGGGGATGTCAGAGAGCCACTTTCAGCCAATCCTTGCAGGCCAGGCCAAGGCATCACACTGGTGCATGAATTCATGCACCGGGCCTCTAGTAAAAATATATTAAACAGAGAAAGAAAAAGAAAAAGACCATAAGCCTGAAAATATTAGCCCATCCCCGGTAGACAAGGCTTGAAGACATCACTGGAAATAGTTTTCATTTCAATGGCCAGTGTTCTCATTGTTTGATCTCCTGATATTCCTCAACCGATACTCCCTCTCCAAAAAAAGAACAAATGTTTGGGGGATTACGGGTTTTTTATGCTGATCATCTCTTTCCTTTGAGGAATTACAAGTGATGCCTGGGCGTGTATCCTAAAGGCTCAAACCGGCTCTGTGTGTGGCTTTAGCATCTGGTTCTGGATGCATTTGGGTTCTTAATTGTGTTTAGCACTGAACAGCCCCAAACAAAGCCCAGCGATCTTATGATTCATTAGGATCGCACCAGATAGAGGAGGTTGGAGGGGGAGCCGGAGGGAGCCCCAGAAATTTATTTCAGGACATACATGGTTGCATTAAAGAGATCACTGAGTGCTTTTTAAATTCAGTGGCTGAGCATCGGCCTATCAACCAGGAGGTCAGGGTTTGATTCCAGGTCAAGGGCACATGCCCAGGTTGCATGCTCGATCCCCAGTAGGGGTGTGTGGGAGGCGTCCAATCCATAATTCTCTCTCATCATGGATGTTTCTCTCCCTCTCGTTTTCCATTCCTCTCTGAGTTAGTATAATCATTTAAAAAATATTAGCAATTGTTGCATTCAAATGGCCTGCACATTGTTTTAAAATAGTTCATAATTTTTTTGGTTTAACATTCCAGGTGGATGGTCATTTAAAGACGACCTAGCGCTATGCTAGTTTGGCTCAGTGGATAGATCATCGGCCTGTGGACTGAAGGGTCCCGGGTTTGATTCCAGTCAAGGGCACATGCCCAGGTTGCGGGTTCGATCCACAGTGGGGGCGTGCAGGAGGCTGCCGGTCCATGATTCTCTCTCATCATCACAGATGTTTTTATCTCGCTATCACTTCCTTTCTAAAATCAATAAAAAAAAATATTTTTTTTTACAAAAGATCCCATGCCTCGAGATCTGTCATGTGTGGCACTGCAGACACTCTGTCTCATGACCTTATTGGGTTCGATTCCTTCCAGGGCAGTATGAGGGTGACATTTGAATTATGTTTTTTTCCTCCCCTTTTTTCTTTTTTCTTTTTATTTTGCTTCTCCTGAATTCCAACAGGCAGATGTCTGACATACCCTTAGGACACCATTCATCATTTCTTCCTAACTGGGGAAGAGTTTGCCTCAGTCCAGGTCATTGAGCTGGGAGTTGTATTTAATTTTTTTTCAGAGAGAAAAGGAGAGGGAGAGAGGTAGAAACATCCATGATGAGAGAATCATGGATTGGCTGCCTCCTGCAAGTCTCTCCCTGGGGATCAAGCCCACAACCTGAGCATGTGCCCTTGACCGGGAATTGAACCAGGAGCCCTTCAGTTCGCAGGCCAACACTCTATCCACTGAGCCAAACCGGCCAGGGCCAATATGACTTTTTTAAAGAGTGCAAATGCCATGAAGAAGTACGAAGCGTCTCAGCATTCATGTCACAATGGGAATTATGACTCACCTCACCATCCTTTCCACATTGTTCCTGTAAATGCAGACTCTGACTAATAATGAAGCTTGTAGATAAACAGCATGTTTGTATAAGAATCCTTGGAACTAATTTTAGAAGATATGAACTCTGACCTTCCCAGTTCTGGGAGATTTGATGACCTTCAAACTTAGAACCAGGAGGACAAAGTATAGGATGACGCACACTGGACCGACACCTGACCACTTGCAAGATCTTTATGAGATTGGACTGTGCCTTTCGGCATGTAGAGAACTTCTCAAGCCCCGCCCCCTGACCTCTTTGCTCTGTTTGGCCTCTCCCTCCTTATAAAAGCCTCTGCCTGCACTGAGATGTGCAGATTGGTTTTGGAACAAGCTTCCACCATCTGCTCAGGTTGACCACACCTGAATAAACCTCGTTCCTTCCTCACCACCACCTATCTCACCGGACTGGTTTCTGAGGTGTGATTCAGGGGAACCTTGTTTTTCTGGATACATTCCTCGTACATGGACTCCCTGGAACATGTGTATCATGGCCATTATCTTTCTTTTGCAGGTCGCAGTGGGAAGCAGAGACTGGTCACAGAGGAAAGGAGCGAAGAACTGTGCTTTGCCTTCAGAGCAAGAAGAACAGGTAAGAAAATGATGGATGAGAGCAGGAGGAGGAAGGATTGGGAATGGAGTCTGATCTGAGGGAGGAATTTGGGCTTTGTGGACTGAAGTGAGTTTAGCAGCAAAACCATACAGCTCTTTCCAAGAGCATGGCTGAGGTTTGGGGAAGGGAGATATCATTCTATTAGTGAACTTATGAGACCTCAAAAATCCTACGTGCTCTTTCACCTGCTTCCTGTTTGCTCCATCAGGTATCCCAGGTATCTGTCAGTCCCTGAATATTTTAATTCTACCTCTCTCACCACTACATGAAATGCAAGACCTCTGTTAAGAAGCCCACCTGGATGCTGACATTAACTTTGTTCCTGTATTAGCTGTTAAAGGTAAAGCATATTATTTGCATGGGGTGGGTTGCTCTATGGTTTGTGATTTCCTTCTGAGATGATCAACAGAAAGAAGGTGTTGTCAGGACAGAAAGAAAACTTGAATCAACTACAAAGTTTTAATTAAGAAAAAAAAAAACGAATAGAAATGAAAAGGAAAAAAAGAAAAGAAAAGAAGAGAAAAGAG